AGATGAAATCATGTTTTTTTTTTTTTTTTTTTTCTTTAAGATTAATGTGAAGGTACAAATGTTTAGGTTACATCGTTTTTGATTCTAAGAAAAAGTTCAAGTTGTAGTTGAGCCTTTCACCAAAGGGGCATGCTGAGCACCGTCACATTTGAACACCCTCACATTGCACACATTAGGTGAGATTCCCCCCCCAGCTTCTTCCCTTCTCCCCTTACCCTTATCTCCCCTCTCCCTCACAAGAATATACCTGTGTTTTTCTTTCATGTGGGCTTTTAGTTGTTTATATATTAGTTTCATATTAGCATTGAGTACATTGGATGCTTATTTTTCCATTCTTGTGATACTTTACTAAGAAGAACATTTTAATTTTTCATGGAAGACTACTCTGCTGCCTCAGGAGTACTTGATAGATTATGGGGCCAGCTGTTTTTCCTAGCAGTGTAATGGGCTGTCTTAATCAATCTCCTAATCTCTTCCTTAGGCTTTTCCTTGATTTTTAAGGATTAGTCAGACTATGTCTAGTAAAGAGAAATAACCAAAGAGGACACTTTGTCATGCCTGCCTGTATCTATACCATAGCCAAGAGCAGGCATCCTCAAACTACCACTCATGGGCCACATGCAGCCTGCTTAGGACATTTATCCAGCCCACTGGGTGTTTTTGTCCCCTCTGACTGTTCTGCTTAGCAGCCAACTCATCCCGGGACCCACATCCGGCCCTGCAACAGTGTGAGGGACAGTGAACTGGCCCCCTGTTTAAGAAATTTGAGGACCCCTGGCCAAGAGTATTTCTGCTCTACCTGCCTTTCCCTGACCTCTACTCTCAGTCATGGGATCCACACTTGGGTAGAGTGGTTGTGTGGGACAGGCTGCCTTCCTCAAATATAAACTGCTTTGGGTAAGTCAATTCTGTGTGGGTCTGAAGTTCCTTATTTTTATAATAGCTATAATGTATGAATGAGATTTTTCAAATTGTGAGGTACTGAACTGTTATTATTGACGGTTTTGCTCTAATAATTTGCAATCATTCTGCAGGAGGTTTTTAAAGATAAGAGAATTCCCCCTTTCATATTTAAATGAAAATAAATCTTCAAGTCATGCAAACGAAAATCTTAAAGACCCTTAAATTGCACAAAGGACAAAGAGATGTAGGGCAAGTAGGTTATAGTCCTACTGGTTCCAGGTTTTATCCCCTCTTTCAGACCCTAGGAGCAAAGAAAGGTAAGATAGCTAGAAAGAAATAGTCCTGTCTGGCCTTGCAACTTTTCTCGCTTTCTGATATTTTTTAAGAAACAGTGTTAAATAGAAATCTCTTAAATTTCCACTGGTGTCAGAACTGGCAGAGGATGTATGAGGCCTGAAGTAGGGAGAGGAGTAGGGAGTAGGTAAGAGGAGAGGACTGGATTTGTATGGTGGTTAAGGGCATTACCTCATTCACATGCAGGCATAAGGGCCATATTTCTCTATCTATCTTATTTTATTCCAAAAAGAGTAATTTTTCTGGAACAAATATGCCAGGAAAACTTAAATCCTCCTATTCCAAAGCACTATCTTCCAGAAATGAAGATTTCAAGATATTGAAGAGATCCTGAGGGCATCCTAGCCTTGCTATTTACCCCTGCATCACTGAGTAATTTAAGGCCATTGTTTTCTGTCTCTGGGTCTCAGTTTCCTTATCTGAAGACTGAGTATGATAATACATGCCTTGCCCACATCAGGGTCTAGCCAAAAATCCAAGGATATGATGCCTGTGAAAGCACATGACAAAATGTAAAGTGGAGTACCCATATATATTGTAAATTTCAGAATTTTTAACACAGCATAACTGTGTTTTACCCCTATTCTTGTGTTTGAAAATTAAATCACTCAATATTCCGGATGACATAAGCAGCTTTTATGTAAAGGAGCCAGTTGCTCTACTCACTTCAATACTTTTCCCTTTCAAACCTGACCCATGATTAGGGAGTAGGTATCAGCCCAAATGGTCCATTATAAACATAAGTGAAGACTTAAAAACAACTCATGTTTCTCACACCTGAGACTTGAGAGTCTCATTTTCCCTGTTCTATCAAAAAGCCATGGAGAAAGCAGTTTCATTTCATGCTGAGAAGCATGGGAAACTAGCAGTTAGGGCTTGAGAGATTAATTGGTTCACTCTAAACTAGGAAAGCACAAAATAGTACCTAAGCTGTCCTAGTGCCAGGTGTGAGTAAGAACTTTAGCTCCTCAATTTCCTCTCCCAGACCCCAAGAACTTCACTGTCATCCCAAAGACCATAGCTCTGAGCTCTGATCTAGTCCCTGAGTTTTGATCTTTAAAAGAACAGGAACCAGGAAGGAAAATAAGAGGCAAGAGTATAAGGTAAATAAAAATGAAAAAAAAAAAAAAAACCCTTAGGACCATCTTAAAGATCAAAAATACATTGATTTAAATCCTCAGTAAAGAATGGTAGAAAACTATTTGGGGGGAGGAAAACTCTAGCAAATATACTGACTCCAAAGCTGTTACAGCTACAGAAACCTAAGACATGATTTAGAGGATCACAGCACCAGACCATCCCCCCAAAATGCGTGTGTGTGTGTGTGTGTGTGTGTGTGTGTGTGAATTGAGAGAGAGGCATTGTGAAGGTTTGATTTTTCTCTCTAAAGTGCTAGGTATATGCATAAATAGAGTTCTGAGAGGCTGACCTAAACAAAAACGCCATCAGAAAAACTCTACCCCATTTATTGTCATTTCCTCCCTTATTCCCTATAATCAAGTTAAGCTAGCAGCATGTCTTCTAGTCCTGTGACCAGGGAATCTGGCTGTCCAAGCTAGATCTGGGAGTGAGAAACACTGCAAGTCAGTCTTGTGAACATACTGGAGAATCAATTCCCTCAAGGTGTAGGATAGACTACATTCCATCCATAGAATGCTGACTGTTGTGAATACCACATGCCATCCACATGCCATTCTCCTCCTGTTGTGGTATGTAAACAAGGCAAGAGAGCCTAGGAGAACAATAGGGTAAGGCTTCCAGCAACACAAGAGACCTAGGGAGGGAGTAGAGCAAGTTGGAAACCTATGGATCAATCTCACTAGCTTCCACCTCTCCCTACCCCACAATATGTGTTAGGTCGATAGCTTAGGATCCAGTAGAAGAAATACATCACCCAGCTAGGGAGATAACATTCTACCCTATTCCAGATTGGTAAACTCACTCTTTATGAAAGTTGATTGAATTCTAAGCTCCACATATTTTAAAGGAATTAAAGTGATGATTTTCAGAGGTCAGATGCTTTCTTTAAACCTCTGGAGGGCTATCACGAGGCAGAAGAAGCAGATGAAGTCTGTTCAGCTGAAGGAACAAACCCAGGGCCCATAGGTGTGTACTACAAAAAGTAAAAGTTTTTCTTTTACTTTTCTTTCTTTCTTTTTTTTTTTCTAGAGACAGTCTCACTTCATCACCCTCAGTAGGGTGCTTTGGCGTTACTGTTCACAGCAACCTCCAGCTCTTGTGCTTAGGCGATTCTTTTGCCTCAGCCTTCTAAGTATCTGGGACTACAGGCACCTGCCACAACACCTGGTTATTTTTTCTTTTTATTTTATTTATTTACTTATTTATTTTTGTCGCAGTTTGGCCAGGGCCGGGTTTGAACCCGCCACCCTCTGTATATGGGGCTGGTGCCCCACTCACTGAGTCACAGGCACCATCCCTGTCTATCTCTTTTGTTGTTGAAATTTGGCTATAGCTGGGCTTGAACCCACCACCCTCAGTATATGGGGCCAGTGCCCTACTCACTGAGCCATAGGTGCTGCCCAAATTTTTCTTTATATTGTAATATATATTAAGCAATAGTGAGCTCTCTGCCACTGCAAGTATGTGAGCAAAAACTAAACAAATACTTTGGGAGAATATTTAAAAGGACCAAAGCAGGGATTAAAGGCTTTGGGTAGATGGATTAGATAACATTGAAGGTATACAGTCAGACTGATTTACTACCAATAACTTGGCTTTCAACTGTTGTACATTGTTCACATTTTCTTAGGTAAGATGTAGGAAGGAAGTTATTGGAGGACTTTAGAATATGTTAGCTGAAGAAATATACAAATAGGCAGTTAAAGGTAGTTGGCTATTTGAAAAGTAGGAAACTACTCACAATCCTACCTCATACTACCTCATGCTACAATAAACCTCTGAGAAAGTAACATTGACTATGGAATACTTCCAATGGAGTTGGATAAGCTCTAAAATGGAGCCCCCAAACTTAGCTTCTAGCCCAGTTTTGCTACTGACTTGCTTTGTGACTTTGAGTAATCACTTTTTCTCTCTGCATTTCAGTTCCTGTCTCTATAAAATGAGGCTAATATACCCTTATCTGCTAACCACCAAAGAGTATTATGAAGATCAGATGATTATAGTAGATGTGGAAGGGTTGTGTAAATTGTGACTGGGGCAGTAATGGGAGTGAAAAACTAACACAGTTTAAATATCTCTAAATTATCAGACACCATAAAAGGTGCGTTTGCCTACATTTTTCATTCAACCCTCATAAGAAATTATGAGATAGGTAGTATTTTCTACTTTTTAGAGATGAATAATTTGAGGCTTAGAGAGGTGAAGGGATTTATACGATCTTTAATTAGTTATTAGGGACGAAAGTAGATTTGAAATATAGGGCTGCCAGATGACCAAGGCTTATATGGTTTTTCTACTGTGCTACACTGCTTGTACATAGGAAAGGGGCCTGAGAGAACTTGCAAAAAGCCAGAGTGGAGACTGGTATCATGGCAACCTGGCCAATTTCCTGACAACTGCAGACCCAAAAGTTGATGTCTGACTGGTTTAAAGGTTAACACCACCACTGTTGTCCCTTCACCCACTAGTGTTTCTGGCTTGCTGCTTGCTGTTCCTTTATACCTAGCCCTACTGAGCAATTGGACTCCAGAGGGAAATTCCCTGAAAGTAATCCCTAATGTTTGGGGTTTTTTGCCCCACCTTTCTAGCTCACCTCAGTACAGTTAATGTCTGGGAATTTCAAAGGGCACATTGAGCTCCAGGTTATCCCCAGAGCTTTCAGCTGTGTTTTTTCCTGATGTCTCAGCTCCAATATAGAAGGCAGAGCTGGAAAACTTTTGTAGGTCCAGATCTGTGCATTCAATGGGGTTGTGGACCCAGTGGGAGTCGCTGTCTGAGGCACAAGAGGCCATGGTAAAGGACTCTTGTGTGGGGAAGCTACAAGTTTAGCTGCAGTCATCCTCCAGGATGGGGTTAAATGGTTGGTTCTCAAAGATGCTCTCATTCACTAGGGTCTCTGGACTGGTTTCCTGGCCAGGTGGCATGGGGAAGAGAGATTCCTTCTCTGCTACCTTGTCAGCCTCAAGCTTCAGTGAACCTCCTGCAACTCAAAGCAGAAAGTCACTGAATCACTCAAAAGCAAAGGTCCTTCTCAGCAGGCCACATTGTCCTGAGCACAAGATAGGAGCGGGATCTGAGAGGTAAGTATGTTCCCCTTTCTTCACCCTGAGGTCCAGAGCCCCTATCACCAGACTGAGGTGACACAATTACCAGAGATAAATGAGGTGACACAGTTATATCCACAGAAAGGGAAATCCTTTGCTGGTAACAAAATTTTGACAGCCCTTCTCCTCCCACAAACTTCATCCCCTGGTGTTAAGTCTGTGTATGTTATTCTGTATGGCAAAGAGACTTGTTAGCTGGAATTTAAATGATGGATCTTTAAAAAGGGAGATAATTATGGATTAATCGGATGGGTTCAATGTAATCATTTGTTCTTGACAGGAACAGTAGTAAATGAAGGCAGAAGAAACAAAGAGTAGAGTATCAGAGAGATGTAGCATGAGAAAAACTCAACTCTCTATTATTAGTTTTCAAAACAGAAGGGAATCATGAGCCAAAGAATTTGAGTATCATTGAGAAGATGGGAATGGCCTTCAGCTCATAGCTAATAAGAAAATGGGACTTAAGTCCTATAACAGCATGGAACTGAATTTTGCCATCTGCCATAATGATCAAGGAAACTGATTCTCTGCTCTAGAAAGGAGGGAGCCTCTGGAAAGGAACACAGCAGTGCAAACATCTTGACCTTAGCCTTGTGAGACTATGCAGAGACCTAACTGAGCCTGCTGTACTTCTGAGTTGTGGAAACTGTGAGATAATAAACTTCTAAATGTATGGTAAGTTTGTTATGGCAATGATAGCAAAGAATACTTCCATCATGTATGAGTCTGGTTCAACATCAGGTACTAAACTGAGAGCATACATAATATGTGTTTGTTTGGCCTACCCACTGTGGCTATAATTTTGTTCTTTATTCAATTTTTTCCCCAAATTTTAAAATGATTTCATTCTAAATTTCTCTTAGAAACTTAGATTTTGCAACAATAAATATTCCCAAATGGTAACAATGAGCTAGAGTTGAATGGTGAAGCCCCTTTAGACAAGAAATATGATATCTATCTTTCCACAATCCCTACTCATCTCTCCTGCACACTACATTTGATATAATTCACACATTAATCTTAACCTACACTGCCCCAGTATGTGTGTAAGTCAGTGACTCTTGATAAAGAATTTCCCTCAATGAGGAAATATCTAGCTCTCCTTCCCTTGTGAAGGCCAGGAGGAAGCTGCATGCCCTCATATTCTGAGATGAGTACCACATTATTATCTTGAGGATAGATGAGAAACATAGAAGAGTTTCCATCTCTCTTCTCCTGAGGGAGGATGAAGGAGACAGACAACTCTCAAATGTTCCTTCATTTTCATCTTGATGGGCACTGAGGAGGGCCCCATTACCCATATTTCATGCTCATGCCAAGACACTGGAAAAAAGCTCTTATCTGAGAAACTGACCTCCAAAGTCAGTGATGAGATGGTCTACCATGAGCTACAATGTCCCAGGAGCTCCCAAAGAGTAGGAGAGAGAAGTAGAGTTTTAGAAGGATTATGAAGAAACAACAGTGTTCCCTTTGTATCCTGAACCAATAAAATACTTGATTTATCTTTGTTTAAGCCAGCATCACAACCAAATATATCATCTGGATTTTTTCAATATCATGTGGCAGGCCCCAGAAACAAACTTACCAAGGTACAAGAGGAACCTTCCCACACAGATAAGAATTGCTTTGGGCCCAATAACTTGTTGTAAGAAGAGGCATCCTGAGCAACCTTGCATTTAGTAAACTTTATCCTCCTCCTTATTAAGCAACTCCATTCACTAGTTTGAGTTCCTGTTTTGGTGTTTCTCCCTAGTTCTAAGTTTCATTAATAGTACTGAAACTGCACCAAACACCAGTATTCTAGGCTGGTACTCCTACCCCTTATCTTCTGGTCTTGACCAGTCACTATCCTGTCTCCTCTATCTTTGCCCTCAGTGAGCCGTACTTACTGTCTTACAATCTTGGATAATAGCTGATGTTGTGCTATACATATATCACAATGTTGTTATGACTTTAAATGTTACCCTTCACCTGGAATTTCACATGGCAATCTGGCATCTCTTAGGGCATCAATATTGTCTGCGGAAGTCTAGGTTTCCAACTGTTCTGGACACTGGGATGTTAGTTACCCCCCATTTGGTAAACTATTATACTGACACAAGTTGCCATAGACCTCATTCACTTTTGTTATAGTAATCTCTCAGATATAGCCAGGCCTTCCTCCATTCCTAACATGCTCCCTAATCTAAACCTACTAGTATAGATATGAAGATTTGGAAAATAACCTTAAAAAACAATCAATCCAATACGATTTATCCTTCTCAAGGTTAGGAAGAAATAGGCCCAATGAGACTAGATGACTTGTTTAGTGATTATACAGTGATTTAAAGGTAGATTTAGAACTGTGTTCTCCAGATTCCTTTCCCAAGGGATTTCCACCCATGCCGTTCTCCTCTATGAACCCCTAAAATCAAATTAACAAGGGCCCCTACTCTCAGCATTGTCCTGAGTCATCTCTTAAGTATCATGATTTCTATTACTATCCCAGATAGATCCCCAGGACAACAGAAGACTACTCTTGGGGTTTTCCAGTATGGTAGATAAGGCCTATTAAATTTTGACCTCAGAAAATCCCTCTCTTCTTTCAATAAAAACTTGTTCTTGATTCATGTGAAATGTGGAGTAGCCACCCTTACTACGCTGACAATTTCTGTTGAAGAATTGCTTGCAGTAGAGGAAGAAGAGCCCCAGGAATGCCAGGATAAACACCACTAGCAGACTGCTCCCTAGTGCAACAAGTGCAGCCTCCTGAGGGGGCACTGTGGGTGCATCTGCCTGCACTAATCTCAATTGGAAGGCACCTGTGAGACAAAAAGGTAGGACATGTCACTTAGGGTGGGCAGTCAATAATCACCCTGACACTGGGCTTGAACTTCCTCAGGCTATCACCCCTCTCCCTAACACCTCTCCCAATTACGGCTGCAATGCTAATTTTACTTCTTTGTTTAGCAAACAAAATTATAAAGATAGAAGCAGAAAAATGTATATATGCTTCTGGTATGATATCAATTCAAGGAGTCAATTGAAGATCCACATATCCTGTGGTCTTTCCATGCCACATCTCATTATACAACCTAGAAAAATAGAAACAAGCTAAAATGTTCATAAGTAGAGCATAGGATAAATAAATCAGGATATAATCCTAAAATATAATTATATAACACTTAAAGGAAAAGATAATTAATGATCAATATAAATAATCCAAAGAAGAAAAAAGAAAATTGGAAAAAGAGAATATATATCTTGATATTTTAATAAATCATTATAAATATATAATAATTGTGTATATTGCTTATAAGTGTGCACATATATCACAAAAGAATACAAGTATTAAAACAGTAGAAAGTATGACAGAGGCATAGTGCTCACGAGTTATCCAGATGCTCCCCTGAGTTATCCTTATACTCTTGAAGTAAGGTCATTATAACACTTCTGGCCAATGGACTATGAGTGTAAATCATGTGTGTTATTTCCAGACTGAAACAGATAAGGGTCAGTCTGTCTCTTCCATATCTTCCCTATACCATTTATTTGGAAGCTACCTAGTCTAGAAAGCATAATCACATGATTGAAGAAGAACTTTGCATAAGGAAAAAAAACTTATTATATTAAGTCACTGAGATTTGGAAGTTTATTTGTTACTGTTACTACCAATAGAATACATAAAATTTCAGGATAATGGTTGTATCTGGGAAGGTAAGTAGAAAATAGAACTCAAAGAGGATCTAGAAAGGAATTTAAATACATGTATGGAGTCCTTGTTCTCTTTTCAAAAATCTGAAGCAAATATAGAGGGTGCCAAAAATGTATACACATTTTAAGAGCTGTTATTTTTGTAGTACTTTTCAAAGTTTGATGAAGGTACTGTTATTGGCCCAGTGTACCTAGACATGATACACACACCTATTTTACCTGAAATTCCTACTGTTTGGGGGAATGATTAATTTTACTTCCAACAAGATCTCTTAAAATATGTATGCATTTTTTGACATGCCTGGTAATATAGAAAGTTAAGATGTATTAACTCTGGCTGTTGGGTAACTATGCATCTTACTATCCATTTTCTTGCATTTTAAATATTTCCACATGCTTGAAATATTTCATGATTTTAAAAATAATAATTAAATAAGTATGCAGATAGATGATAGACAAAAATAATAAACAGATAAATGGATGGAAATTTAAGCATAGATTATACCCTAGTTCTTCATTTAGCCTTTTACAAGCTTTAAGACCTAGGAACACTTGCAATTTTTTTGTAGTAATAATAATACTTCATAATTGTACACGTCATAATTTACAAAAGGCATCATAATATCCTTTGTTTCATTAGACCTAGGCATCCACCCTATGACATATAACTCATTATAATGAGTTTCATTTTTCAAATGAGAGAAATGAGATTCAAGGAGTTTGAATGATTTACAGAGGGTTACATAGATAATACGTTATGATATCAGAATTCAGATATACTTGATTCCCTTGCCACTTTATGGAAAGGTGTATGAGAGGAAAGGAAAAGTCTTTAGTACTCTGTTGTGCTATCGCCTGATGGGTTGGGGATGAAAGGGGAGAATAGAACTGGATACACACACTGAACTTCAGATGTGGGACTCTGTTACGTACATGGGTTGCACTTTTGGTCCTGCAGGCCTCCAATGCATGTCTTTTGGTAGAACCTGTGGTCAGAGCAATTGCAAATGGCAGAGTGATCAAATAGACAACAAAATTGGACTACTCGTCCTGGGCTCATAGGCAGCTTCCATGCGTCTTGCACTCCTGAAAGTCAGCACCCACCCTTTCATGTCATATTGCTGCTTCTGTGTCTGATACTGATTCAGAGGCCCAGACCCTCAATCTCTTCCTCTATTCACCATACTGTAAAGGAAAAAGAGGAACTAATCCCACAAAAGAGGGGAGTATTGCTTTGCTACCAACTGCTTCATAATTGATTTTAAGTCTACAGTGAGATTTATCTTTAATCTTGGGCCTGGGATAAGAATGCCAGCATGATGAAAGTTATTTAGTAATCATTTGTGGATGACAATGTGTTAGGAACTTTATAGAGGCATTGTGGGGAAATATATTTTCTCTTTTCTGGGAGATTAAACTGAATATGATGTAGACAGAATATTTCAAGTTGATTCTGAGAGGTGAGGATAAAAGAGGCTTCCAAAGGCTAGAAAAGGCCTAGAAGAGGTTGACATAATATACAACAGGCTCACCTGGGAAGACAGTCCCCACAGACAGCATTAGAGGTCGCTATGCAATTGGCCTTCTGAACATGATTGATGACAGCACAGGTTATGCAAGTCTGACATCTGTGGTGGCCCTGGCTGCTTTTGTACCTGCAAGAAGGGCAGGCTGTGCAATATGCATCTCCACCCTCTCCATAACCACAATCCTGTAGAGAGATGGGGATCATAAACATTGCTCTGGAGGAACTTGGAGACAGGATCAGCTATGGGACAAGTGGACAGGATATAGAGTAGTATAATATTTTTCAAGCTACAAGTTGCAACCACATTACTAGGTCATGAAATAAATTTACTTAGTTGCAGCCAGCATTGAAAATTGAAATAGAACATAGTAGAATAATGATATCAAATATTGAAGTGCATATCATGTAGTAAAGCATAAGCTAGGTTCTACTATGACAAAAAGCAAACCTCAAATCTCAGTGTTTCAAAAAAATAAAAGTTTATTTCTCACACTATTTGCATACCAGATAGTTTGTGAAGGCTCTGCTCCATATTATCCTCAAAGGGATACCCAGCATGTACAAAGGCTTCATCTTTGTACTGTCTTTATTGGAGCTTGCAGGACAAGAGATATAGTAAATTGTGTACTAGCACTTAAAGACTTCCTCTAGAAATCTAATTTTATTTTTTTCACATGTCCTTGGCCACATATATCAACTGGTCATTAGTTACTACAAAGGATATAAGAAAGTGGAATTCTATAGTTCCAGAAGGTGGAAATATTTGACAAATAATTATAATCACAATGCATGTTAGTATTATTTTGTAAAATGCTTACAGATAAAATATATGTAAGTATGTGTTAGGTTGTGATGAAAAATTTATTTCTCATTCTAAAACATAGTAAGAAACGTTTGATTGCTAATGGTATAGATGATAGATGGGTGATTCAGCTGACTCTCATCTCAGCTCTGGTATTGATTTAGTGTGACTCTGGCCAGTACCACCCCCCCTACTTTCTGGGCATCAGAGGTCCAAACTCCTTACGAATTTAAAATAGATGGTTTCTAAAGATTCTTTCAGCTCTGACAACCTAATCTCAATTACAAACAAGAATCCTGCCTGATAGCAGTCATAGCTCTTTTTCAAAGACATAATTCTAGTTGTCAAGGAATATTAGCTATTTTCTAGTTGTGACAGAAGCTGTGTGGTAGGTCACGAAATCTATTCTCCATTTTTCCTGGGAACAGCACTATCCAACATTTCATAACCCCACCACAGTTAAGTACATGCGTGATTTCTAGCCTATGGACTATATATAAAAATGATACATGCCACTCCCAGCCCTGGCTCCCAAAACACTTCCTATGTCCTACTTAACATTCTTCATATTTTCATTTTTTGGTGTATTTTGTAATACAAGAAAACCTTGGAGTCCACATAAAAAATAACAGAGGAAGTCAGCAAAATGAAAGAATAGGCAGCTTCAAGCTCTTATTTTCCCAAGAAACATACAAAAATAAGAAGAAACTGTCAGAATCAAAGTCATCAGAACTCTGGAAAATAGTCAAAGGTTTACATCAACCATAAAATGCTGAATGAAGAAAAAGCCCATTTGAAAATGATAGGGGTGATCCCAGAAATCACCCTCCCTCCACCCATCCTCCCCCCTCCCCTCTCCCATGTGAATCTTTCTAAATGTGGAATATAAATGTCTTAACACAACGACTATGAGAATGACATGAAGGCTATGTTGGCAAATTGGATGAAAGTATTTCAAACTGTATATGGAAACAACACCTTGTACCCCATGATAGTATTAATGTACACAACTATGATTTAATAAAAAAAAAATAAAATAAAGAAAAAGAAAATGATAGGGGATCTTTGTGGCCTTTTTACTTGCTCTTGTTACATACTTCACCCCAGAGGAGTGGCAGTCCAAAAGTTGTACAAGTCTTAAAGTGTTGTCAGCCTGTGTTCCTAGCATGAGGCCCTCATCTCTGGTTCCAAAGTGAGCAAAGCAAAACTTCTTCACAAATTATTGTGTATGTCAGTTCTAATTTATAGGGGGGCTACCTGAATGACTGATACAAGGTGCTCATCAATGTTTCACTCAATTCAGAATGTAGATTGAAAATGCAGTGAGTATCATTTCAAAATGCTGCAGTGCAACTAACAAACTACAGCTGTATAGAGAAAAAAGACATACAACAGACTGCCTAAATCTGGGAGCAAATGCTGGGGAAGATTCTTTGAGAAATGATGACATTTGAAAGCATCCATATATATGAAGAGATTTAGAAAAGCACATGCATGCACAGAACAAGATGCATGCTCTGAATAAATAGAGGGTGTCAAAACATGTATACACATTTTAAGGAAGGAAAAACCTGTATTAAAATTGTAAAACTCAATATATACTGATCACAAAAGATGAATGAATACAAGGCATGTTTGTCTTCTGAAATTGCAAGAGGTACTCAAAAGTGGTTACCACTAGCATCTAGATACTTGTGTTTATGAACTACTGTTTGAGCAATGTTGACTAAAGTGTCCACTTGTATTGCTGCTCATATAATTGCTATGTGAAGTACTGCCAATATAGCCTGTTTTGTCTGATACACCACATTCTTTAAGGTTCCCCACAGGCAGAATTCAAGGAATGTTAAACCAGGACAACGTGAAGGAAACTCAACTGAACCTCTTCATCCTGCCCATCATCTTGGAAAATTCTCATGGATGCAAGGCCTTATGTCTTGGTGCATATAATAATTGTAAGATGAAGAGTTCCCAGATTTCTGTTTTAAGAATGTGTCATATGTGTTAACTTCTGTTTCATGTGTCCCATGTTTGGAAGACTTCTCTGGCAAGTGTGTAAACTGTTCTGACACTGTAGGAGAAGCAGCAGGACTTGGTGCTGTATGAGCCCTCTCAGATCTTCCCTTGTGGAAATAACATAGTACCATGAGTCTCATACATATCATGAATGTATTCAATTGTTAGGCATGTTGGAGACTCTGTTGTAGACTCAAGCTTCCTCCACTTCTACAATGTTCTTGAATTTCAAACACCACCACTTCAAAATGTTCCTGTGCTCCTCTAACAACAATCATACTTATAATAAAAATTGCCACTTTTCAATGAAAGGAAAATCACAAAACATAAAAAAAAATACATGTGGCAAATTAAAAGGAACAAAATAAAAGAGCAGAAATTTTTCCCAAGGAAGCCAATACTAGATAAAGACTAAAAGAACTGTCTTAAACATGTTTTTTTTAATGGACAAATATGCAAAAGAAGTGAGGAAATAAATATATGAATAAAATGAGCAAATCAATAAAGAAAAAAATATTTTAAAAGAACCAAACAGAAGTACTGAAGCTGAAAATGAAAAATTTACTACAGTATTTAGGTAGAAGAAAGAATAAGTAAAGTTGAAGGCAGTACAATTCAGATTATCATGTCTGAGGAGAGTAAAGTAGACAGAACCTAAGGAATCTGTAGGACCCTACCATGTTAACCAATATACACATTACATCCCAGAAGGAAGAGAGAGAGAGAGAGAGAGAGAGAGAGAGAGAGAGAGAATATTTGAGAAAATAATGGCTGACTTCCCAAATTGGGTAAAGATATAAATTTACACTTTTAAGATGATCAAGTGTATCTCCAAGTAAGATAAACCTAAAAAAGACCGATATTGAGATGTATTATAAATAAAATGTTGATAGCCAAAGACAAAAAGAAAATATTAAAAGCAGCAACACTGAAATGACTTGTAAAGAACAAAGAATCCTCAATAAGATTAAAAGCTGGTATTTCTCTAGCTTTCTATTGATTCATGTTTTTCTTAAACTGATTTTTATTCATAAACTGAAGTGACTCAAAGTCAGTGAATAGACATATTTAAGTGTAGAAAGAAATAAACTGTTAGCCAAGAATTCCATATGACACAGAAAATCACTCAAAAATAAGAGAAAATCAAAATATTCCTACATAAACAAAAACTGAAGGAGACTGATGTCACTACATATAAACTATAAGAAAGGAGTCCTTCAAATTGAAATGAAAGGAGACTGAACAGTAAGTCAAAGCCATAGAAAGAAATATTTCTAGTAAAGATAAATATTTGGAAAAATATTGTTTGTTCAACTTATATGAAATATCTAGAATAGGTAAATTCATGAACACAGAAAGTAGACTAGAGTGGCTCCCAAACTTTTTGTCACAAGGGACCAATTTCATGGAAGACAATTTGCAGTGCAAGAAATGGGAAGCAGTGTAAATACAGATGAACTTCTTCACTCATTAGCAAGTCACTCACTTCCTACTGTGTAGCCAGGTTCCTATGTTTCATGGAAGACAATTTTTCCATGGATAGGGAAAGGGGTAAAGGTGGTGGGAGTGTAGGTGGAGTTCTACATCTAGTTCCTAACATGCTATGGTTCAGGGGTTGGGGACTGCAGGATTAGAGAGTACCAAGGGTATTGATGCAGAATTGGTAATTGTTGATCAGAGTTTCTGTTTGGGGTGATGAAAATATCTTGGAAATAGACAGTGGCAATGGTTGCTCGATATTGTAAATGTGATTATTGCTACTGAATTACACATTTAAAATGGTTTAAATAACAAATTTGATGCTATATACTAGCGGTTCTCAACCTGTGGGTCGGGTCCCCTTTGTAACAACGAAAATACATCCTGCATATCAGATATTTACATTATGATTCATAACAGTAGCAAAATTACAGTTATGAAGTAACAACAAAAATAATTTTATGGTCAGGGGTCACCACAACATGAGGACCTATATTAAATGGTCGCGACACTAAGAGGCAGTAGGAAGGTTGAGAACTACTGTTATATACTTTACCACAATTTTAAAAAATTAATAATGTAATACACCAAAAACCATAGAGTTGCATACTATAAATGGGTAAATTTTATGCTATAGGAACTATGTTTCAATAAAGCTATTTTTAAAATGACAGAGCCTTCCTAAGCCTGGGTCCCTGAATGACTGAAAAGAATCCTCTCACTTACTCAAACTGACTGGAATTAGAAAAATAAATAAACTGATAATCTGTTATTTTAATACTTTAGTTACAACAACTAGCATTATCTTAACTGATACACTACAAAATCTGTACTTTCCCAGAGGTTGGAAAAGTGAGCATCAGCCAGCTTCTAAACTCCTGATATC